TCTTACTGCATCCAAAACGTGACCTCTACGTAAACCACTCTCCGGAAAACCGCTTTTTGATTGATTGCTTCAAATAAAGAATAGCCTAATAGGAGTTTGAGTTAATCTCTTACTCAATTTTAGTAGCTGCACAGGATCCATCATCTCCTTCTATTTGTCGAGGGTTTGTCGGAGATCCAATGGATCGGTCAGCGTTAAAGGACTTCCCTTCGCTCTATTTTTTCCTATTCATCTCTCAATTTCTTTTAACATTTAGCTATCTGGCAGGACTTGGTCTTGTCAAGAAGATGATGCCTAACGATAGGGGAAGCAGTGTGTATAGAGCTGTTTGTGAAGGAGTGAGTATATGTAATTGTATATTCTTTGAAAGTATAGGCGCTCATTCAAGGCTGACATCTTAGCTAAGCGGCGATCAAAGTGAATACCTTGAACTTCAACAAGTTGTGGAAGGAGATCTTCAAATGCGTTACCGTCTTCAACGTCTTCGAACAGGTCTAGCGGACGTAAACAAAATTGAGGATACTTTGGAGACAATTTCACGTCTTCTCAGGTTCTTGATATAGCGTAAAGGTTTCATAGTATTTATGTTTCTGTAAAGTCAATCCTGAGCCAAAGAAAGAGAAAAAGGTAGCCGTCTTTGTACATGGTCCAGCCGTCGACAGCTTTCTTACATCTAACAATCACAGAACACCTAGAGTTTATTCTTATTCTTTCAGATGTAGTTGCTACCTCTAAAGTTCACAAGTACTGTACTAGGTAACTGATTCTATAAGTTCCAGAATTGAGCTCCATGTCTATCGTGTTGTGGGGGAAGAACCTCAAATTCACATACCTAAAAAACGTACTACAAAACGTCCTGACAAGGTAAGGCTTATCATACTTTTCTTTCTTCTTCATCGTTTACTGCTCGATGGCGGCATGACAAAGTTTGTTGGTCATATACAAAAACAACATACTAAGGGCAACAATACAGTGATAGTAAATGCATATGAAAAATTATAAAAAAATTAGGTGTAATTGTAATGAAAATAATAGGAAGGAGTTACATTTCTTTTAAGAGCGCTTTAATTACTAACTACTCAATGAATTCTTCCCAGCTCAACTCCCTTCCTTGAGAACTCAAGATAGATAATCGTTAAGCACCATCAGCTCATTTCTTTCATTAAAGG